TACACTGCTGAGGGGAGCAGCGGGCGGGTCAGGAGAGGTCTGCCACGCCATGTGGATCTCCTCCGGGGCAGGCGGGGATCGAACTCATGCGGAAGAGGCTTAAGCTTCTTAGTGCTGTGCTTTAACCCGCTGCGCCACCAGGGAGGGCCGGAACATTTTTTTTAAGGATTGAAGGTAACGTTTTTTTGCCCTTGGGAGGTGTAAATATGCAGGGAGTTTTGTATTTACATTTGGGGGGAAGCTTTTTTCTGAAACTAGCTCGAGCATACATAACCCATACAGCCATTGGGAAACTGAACTTGCTGTTTGCTGTTTTTGCGGGTTGCAGACCCGGGGGGGGGGGGGGTAAGAGGATTCACCAGAGACAGTGGGGAACAGAACAGGCTTATTGACTGACACACACTGCTGAGGGGAGCAGCAGGGAGACAGGAGAGGTCTGTTGTGCTATGTGGGTCACTCCTGCCCTGGGATCGAACTCCTGCTACAGTGGCTGCCCATAGCTTTAAAATACTGAGACTTAACCCCTGGTGCCACCAGGGAGGCCCCAAGAGGATTTGTGAATATAAATATTTTTAAATTTATAAATTTCAAGATTAATACAGATTTAGCTCCGGGACTAAAAACAGGCCCTAAGTTGCAATCTGTGTGTGTGTGGGGGGGGGGGGGGTTGTCTGGAAGGGGGTTGCAAAGAAGGGTGGTTTCTCCATGGGTCACAGCCTAGCTCCCCCTTCTCAGTCTCTCATTTCCTATCCCTGGCATAAAGCCACCACCCTGTCTGCCTGGTCCTAACACCGATATAGAACATCTCCTTTTTCAGTTTTCATGACTCACAAAAGTCTCCCTCAAGGGCAGAGGCCACCAATTCAGAGGACAGAGGAACGGGTCCCAGGGACGCCTCAAGAACACCATGAGAAGAGGTGACGTGATGAGTCTGCCCAGGTATGTGGGGGCGACCTGCCCATCCGGAGGCCACCATCATCAACTCCCAGAGCTGCCAGATCTTCTCATCTTTCAAGAAAAGACCAAAATCAGGAGTTTTGAGAAACGTCCAATGTGAAAAGGTTAACCAACGATTTCAAACATCATAGAACCAAACCAGAAACGTTTGAGGTCTGCAACCTTGAATCTAGGCTAACACTTGTGTTTTAACAAGAGAAAGTCTCCAGCGTGGAAAAACAGCCTAGTGTAGTTCAAAGACTACAGTCATCGGAGACCAGGCTCAAATCTCTCACCGGAGCTAACCTGCGGTATGACCCTGAAGAAATGTCTTCAACTGCAAAAGGGAACAATTACATCGCCTTCTTAATGCTTTGTTAGGAAACAAATAAGAGCACAGGTAATACATGAGAATCACCTAGTGCGTGATAGGTCTCAGCCGCAAATGAACGCTGGCGCAGGAACTCTGGGTGTGACCCGTAACACTACAGCTCCTGAATCCAGCGTGGCTCTGCCCCCAACCCCCTCTCCCAGTTTCCTGCCTCTGTGGCTCTCCTTTTTTAACCATATGAGTAAGACTTACCAAGGAGCTGAGCACGGGGTTGACTTTAGACACTGGATTTACCTTGTTTCTCATGAGCAATCCCCAGCACTCACCTAACCTCCTCCCCCAAACTGCCCCCCCCCCCATCTCCCGCCTCCAAAGGTCTCATTTTTCTCCTCTGGTGCTCAAACCACAGCCAGTGTGAAATGAGCCCTCCCCAAATCTGTGTCCTCTTAACCCTAGGAGGCCCTTCGGGAAAGCCAGAACACCCAGGAAACCCAGTCTGAAAGCAGCCTCTGTGCTGACATTCCAATGCCTTAGGAAAGCATTTTAAAGTGCAGGTTTTAATGTCATTCAGAGCTGGGGAGGCCCACAGGTCAAGGGATAATGCCATTGAAAAGAAGGTTCGTTACTCACCATTCTCAAGCCAGGGAGGGCAGGCTTGCCACATCTGCAGTGCCAGGACCGGTCAGGAACAGAGGGAGTGAGAGAAAGTAGGCAAGAGCCTTTACCGAGGCTTCTTTTTTCTAAGTACTTTCTTAAAACAAGATTGATTTGTTTATGCGTACAGAACAGGGGTACAGGTCAGGGGTGCGGGGATGAGAGGACTCACCGGAGACAGAGTAGGGAGCAAGCAGAACAGGCGGATGGACTGAAGTACACTGCTGAGGGGAGCTGCAGGCAGGTCAGGGAGAGGTCTGTTGTGCCCTGTGGGTCACTCCCTGGCCCAGGATTGAACTTGTGTTATGGTAGCTTCATAGTGCTGCACTTTAACCTGTTGCACCCCCAGAAACCCTACTGTGGTTTCTACAGGAAGGAACTATGGAGCAAGGTAAGCAGGGTTAGGCGTGGCTAATCTGAGTAAATTCAGAAGACTCTGGGAAACTGAGGCACAGACGTGAGTACCCAGCCCTGGGGTAGTTAGGGCAGGGGGGATGGGGGAGGGCGTTGGCTGGCGTTGGCTGCCTCTGGCTTGGCTGGTTTCCTACTTGGGACCCACAGTCCTCTTCCTGAGCCAGTAAGGCTCCAGGTGTGAAAGCATTAGAAACATGCACTACAGAGGCACGATCAATACAGAATGTTCTCCACAGAGAGGCGCCCATACCAGTGTGTCCAGAGGAGCCTTTCGTGAGACTCTCCTCAGAACGAAGATGGCAGCTTCCTGACTAAAAGCACCCACAGGGAAAGGCCCCCTGTGCAGGAACAGAAGTTCAGGATGCTCAGAGGAGAGGGCCAGCACCCTTGAGCGCTGGCCAGGCCTGAGCATGCTCTTTGCACAGTCCATGACCTTGGCCTCTGACATCCTGGGTGTTCTTCCTGAAGCTAAAGGAAGCCCTACTCTTTCTGAGTGGAGAAAATTAAATTTGAATGCGAGGGTTGTAGGGGAGTGAGGATTACACTGCTTGAATGTATCAGCTTTTATCAAACATTTCATCAGGAGCAGGACTGAACAATTAACTGCTCAGGTGAAGAAGGGGCCTTCTAGCTCAAGTCTGAGCCGCCACTGCAGTATCCCGATGAGGGGACAGTAAAATGGAATCCACGATTCTGAAATCTAGTTAGAAAATTCTTGTAAGAGACAAGGAACTGCACTGATCCCAAAGGAGCCTGTGTATCTTCCTGTGTCTGAAAAACAACTACATTTCTCCATCTTCCCCCAGCTGAGACTTGGATTCAGTACAGGACAACATACAAATGGCTGCTTTGTGACTCTGCTTGCAGTTTGACTAGATAATCAGGGAAGAATGGTTAGGCCCACATAGGCAAACCTATGCTCATCAGCAAAGCCAAAGGCTTTCAAACCAGTGCTCCAAAATTCTAAAGACAGGACAACCTTTTACTATTTAAGAAAAAATATTTTTATTTGCAAGAAATGGAAATACAAAAGCATAACAATTTCATTTTCCCCCAAAACTAAATACAAGTATCCTACAAAGCATTTCTTTTTCTTTTTTTGTATTTACTTAGCTATGACAAAGAATATAAAGCTTTAAAAAAAAAAAAAAAAGACCCATCACAATACCACAAGAGAACAAACTTGCGGCGTCTCTAGATTCAAACACTGCTGGTCTACATAACCTGTTGCAAAGCCCAGAAAGCCCGGCCTGTCTCCCGACGATAAAGCTATTGGGTGTCATAGTCGAGGGTCTCAGCATTATTTAAAAAGGGCCACTCACGGTGTCAGACTGCTGGTGTTTTCCATAGACTCAAAGCATTTTTACCTGACAGGGAGATTTTTGCGTAAGCAGTGGTGGCCACGGGTCGCGGTACAAGTATTCACACTGGGTGCCACCCAGGAGGGCACAGGACAGGGCAGAGAGCTAGAACTAAAGCCGGGGGTTCTCTTTTCCAGGAAGCAAAGACTGCTGGTTGGTATTTGCAAGATGGCAGGAAAAAGACGTGAGAACACGGGCAGGGCGCGCCACACAAACCCAGCACAAAGCCACGCACATTGCACCGTGGGGCTGGGGCGGGGCAGGAGCCGCATCTCCCGCGAGGAAACCTAATCCTGGACTCCACCAAATTGTCATTCCCTCCCGTCATTAGCTGTTTATCTGTCTCCTAGTAACTAGTGGCTGATCCATAGACTGCAAACTTACATAGCTTCACAGCCAGCACCTAAGAAGCGTCCCACAACTATTTTCTTCCTTCTAGAAACTTCTGTTGCCCCAAATAACAAAAATAAAACTCCTGGATTTTTCCTCTGCCAAGCGATGACCCATTGTGCATGGAGGCATAGAGAATTCATCCTCAAAGGGCTTGGGGTCCTGCGCACCTCAAAAATGCTCTGCTGTGAGATTTCAGGGCACCTGGCACTGGGCGTCACTCACCCTTGCGGTTGAGCCCCCTCAAGACCAGGGTTTCCTAACTCAGGGTTTCCTAACGCAACCTGACCCCGGATTGTTCTCTCCTGATATGCAAATCCGCTCAGGGTGTGCTTGGAGGAAACCAGTTTTTGAGTCTTTCAGGAAGACTCAAGAGTCTTTCCTTCACACACTTCAATCCATTATTACAAGGGTACAAACAAAATCTCGCAGGGATGTGGGTTTCCTCAGTCACCCTGGATTCAGATATGACACATTTAAGGTACAAATGAGTGTGTAAGACCCGGGAGGCGTGTTTGTGTGTACATGTGTGTTGGCCGTGGGTGGCGCAGAGAAAGCACTGTCTTGAATAACATCCATCAATGGCATTCCCGCAGTCCCCCTCTCCCCCAATATTGCCTATAGCCTCCTTCCTGCAAACTGAAAAGTCCTAGGATGAACTGAATGGAAAAGCGAGAATCTGCCACCTCCTCAGCCTCTCCTGTAACTGCCTTCCCAGAGGGCTCAGTCAATCGCATGTCTACTCACTGTCTCAGCCGAAAAGCATTCAAATAAAATGGCTCTCGCTAGGGTTCTCCCTGCTAACGGTTCCACAGGTCCTGTCAGCCTCCAAGCCAGAGTGCTGGGGCTTTAATGAAGCCTCCTCAAAGGTGGGCTTCACCCAACCTGCGACTCAAAATAGACAAGGGGGCACTGAGAGCCTTCTTCACCTCTGATTTTGTGTCAGCAAGGGAGGGTCCATTTCTTACTGGGGAATGGGGTGTCTCCACTTCTGCTTAATGCTTGGCCGACATGTGTCCAGCAGAGCTGGCTGGGAGGGTCAACCGGTTCAGTATGGTATGGCTTGGTGTGAGGACATGGAAGGAGGTTGCCACGAAGTGCTGAAAATTTTTAATAAAACACTTGGACAGAAATTGCGGACATTTGACTCACTGGCAAAATAAAGAAGAATCAATCCAACACTCCTACTCTCTGGGCATATGGGATTCACAGCCCTCTCTGGCGTTCAGGAGAAAGAGAACAAGGGAGGAAAAACCTACTGTGATATTTCTAGTTGGTTTGTAAATATGTTGAGCTAAAAGCTGCCCACAAGCCATGAGTTAGGCCTCCAGATCAAAATCATTTATATTAAATAAAAAGGTTACCTAATTTTGCCTGGACTGGTGTCAAACCTCACCCCTGCGCCCTGCTGGAAAGCAACCCAGTTCAGCTGTCAGGGTTTTATGTAACACTCTCTTTCTGTGAGCCAGGCTCCAGGGTCCTAACACTTCACAGGAATGTTTCCTAAAACTGGCACGGAGGCCTTTCATTTACAGGATCTGTCCCTAAGTGCAAAGCCGAGAGCCGTGAAAAGAGCCACCCTGGAGGCCTGGGTGACTCAGGTCTCATCCGGAGAAAAAGTGCCAGTTCTCTGAAGTCGGCAAGGACATCTCCTGCACTCAGGCATCAAAGAGCGAAAAGGGCGAGCGAAACCTCTTTACAAGGTGACAACACCCTATCGCCATATTTGTAACGACGGGCTGTTCTTCAGGCAGCCCTCAGGCTTGTGTCTGGAAGCCTCTTCAGGGCTAGTAAGGTTGCTAGTTGGGCTGCTCTGGGCACTGCCTGTGGGGGGTGACGAAGGCCCTGTCTGTGAATCCTACAGCGAGGACATGGCATGGATTGTGCATGGACTGTTTGGAACTCACCCGACCCCCCTGCTCTCATCCAACCAACCCTCCAGTGTCCTCTGGACCCTTTCTGGTTCCCCTCAAGGGATAACACTGAGTTCCCCTGTATCAGCTCCAAAGTAAGCAGCGGAAGGCGGAGGCTACTTCCCCAACCGCAGCTATACCTGGCTGAGAGCTATGTGAGCTGTCAGGCTGGGGGCCACACCTCTGGACACAGACTGGGAGAACAGCTTCCAGAAAGCCAGGCCTGTGGTGTGGAAGTCTGGTGAGCGAAGTGAGCAAGGGTGGGGTTGGGGGAGAAGTCTCCAGGCAGTGAGGGCCGCAGCCTGGCACCTGTGCTCATCCGCCTCCTGGTCCAGAAGAGCAAGGCCCGCTCTGAGGCGTCAGGGGCCTTTAAAACCTGACCTGCCCCACTGTGGCGTAGAGTCACCGAGCCCAATCTCACACTCATCCTTAAATAGGAACCTGTCTTCATCACCCAATTCCTACACCAGTTCACCCCATCTTTTTACCTTTCTAGGGTCCCCTGCCCCTGGCTGCCTGTGACTGATGAACAGTCTACCCTGGCCAAGCTAAGGACAGGGATCCATGCAGACAGCCTGGCCACCAAGGCAACCCGCTGCACCTACCACCTGATGATGAATGATGAGCGAGGCCACCTCCCTGCTGGAACTCTCCAGGTAGCTTTCACGGCAAATCCCATAAGCATCTGGGCTGAAAAAGCTGGGTTCTGCTTACAAGGTTCACGTCGATGGCACCAAATCCAGTTTCTAGCATAGAATGGAAGGCCCAGGTGTGGACATGATCCTGCTCTTGCGCCAAAAGACAGGGTCCAATGACGGGGTTGTGTGTGTGTGTGAATGTGAGCGTTTGGGGTGGGGGGGAGTGGCTAAAGCAAGAGGCCCTTTAGCCATTACTAAAAATGAAATACAGTATGTAAGCAAATTTCCTACACAAAATATTTACACAAGTTAGGGCAAAACAGTTAAGGGGCATCTTCTATGTTATACAATAAAAAGGCAATTTCCATTTCTTATTTGTATGAAAGGAGAAAGTTTTTTTTTTTTTTAAACTACAAAAGTTACTTTTCATCCTTAAAAAAAAAATTAAAGTAGGTTGGGGGTGAGGTGGTATTTCTTTGGGTGAGCTGTAAAGTAGCCAAACCTGACCATAAACGGTAAGACTAGAGACACAAATGCCACCTTCTCCGGCCCAGGAATGGGCCTCAGGCCCACACCCCATGCTGAAGCAGGAGAGGAGGGGAGAGGACGTGGGGGCGAGGGGAGGAGGGGCAGGAGCAGGTGTGCAGAGACGGGTCAGCAAGGCCGCTCGAAGTGCAACGGCTGGGCCCGGGCTCCCTTCTCCACCCGAACACAGGACAGAAGCTGCCGGGCCACAGACCCTCAGGCCTGAAGAAGGCCTTCTCCAGCTTCCTCTGAGTCTCCTCAACAGGAGGATACACACTCAGGGAGATTTCCCAGCTCTATCACAGACCTCCAGGAATGAAAGAAGAAAGGAAACAAACAGGGGTCCCGTGGGCCAGGATACCCTCCCTGCTCCAAAGGCCGATGGGGGACTTTACTAGTTTGGCGGGAGGTGTTGGATCTCTTCAGTGTGGTTGCTGGCGGGAGGTCTCAGCAAGCTAATAAATACTATTTACAAATGGGGAGGAGAAGAAGCTGGGAGGCAGAACTATGCTCATGGGGACACCGGTAATGGAGAAATTCTACAAGCAGTGAGATGGGGCAGGTTTGCCTGGAGTAGAGAAGCCTGAGTCCGTCAGGCATTGCACTTGCGGCCTGAGAATGTGATGAAGGGGTCCACCCTCCGCACCGGGAGGACAACCGGACAACCAGCGAGGGCGTGGATGGGGGGCGGGGTGGGGTGTGGGCTGCTCACAGGATGCCCATCCTGATGGGGGCAACGGAGACCCAGGCGAGGGGAAGGCAGGATGTCCAGCCGTCAGTGTGCTTTGCCAGGGCCCTACGACCATCCGGGCACTTTTGTGGCTAGAGTCTGGAGTCCCGAGCGAGTAAGTGTTCTTGTCTCCTTCAAAGCGGTGGTCACAGAAGTGGCGCTGAGAACCAGGTGGTAATTTTTTGGCACCGTTGGTGGAAACAAGCCTGCTTACCCACCCCAGACTCTAAAATAATCTCCTATAGCAGTAAAGAGAAGGGAGGGAGAGATGCTGGGCTCCCTTCCATTGAGAAGGGCGCAGGGCAAGGGGAAGGTGCTCTCACCACCTGTGGAAATCCCAGGTTGTCCTTCATTAAAGCCATGTCCATGTCTTGTCCATGATTTGCCCATGACTTGTCTGTGTCTTTGTCAAGATTGGGTGGCAAAAAGAAAAAGCGATGACGAAGGTAGTTGGGGACGTAAAGATATGGTGACGAGAAAGAGCAGGGGTGGGGGCGGCCTCCTCAGAAGGTGGCGTTCACTCTTCTGTCGAGTTCTACAACTTTCAGCGTTTCGTTGCCCTCCAGTTTGGTGCTGACCCTGTGAAGGCATCGAGAAGCAAGAGACGGCTCAGACACAGATTATGCACGAGGCAGCTTGTGCTCTGGTAGTGTGAGGTCATCACACTTTAACAGTTTTAACAGGAGACTTGTGGGATGGCCCCAGCCTGCCCTTGAGCTTTTCCCTCCTATTGGCAATCTTCTGTTCCCAGCCCTCAACTGCCAGCCTGCCCGCTGCCCACACCTTCATGGCAACCCAGAGGGCGAGCATGGAGGTTCTGTACTGACTCGCTGTAAATTGTTTTAAATGATTGCATTTCCTGCAAGTAGTCAGCTAGACTCTGGGAAGGAGAAAATAAAAGGATGATGGTTGTTCCTGGTCTAGTCAATGACCAGATCATCAATTTTCCAAAATCTCAGTAACTTGAAATAACAATAAATATATAGCGGAAAATACAGGTTATGGAGTAACAGCCTTGAAAGTTGCCAGGCAACCCGATGAGGGCTGTGAGGACGTTGGTACAGAGGAGCTGCCCCAGGACAAGTGAGATTTCAAAGGGCCTTGACTCGCTGAGCAATGAGGGGAGATGATTCAGGTCATGAGGCAAATCCTTAAGGCCTGAGTCTGCGCTACTCCTAGGGCAGCTCTAAGATTCTCTAGAATGGGAATAACAATGACGCTTAACCTGTTAAAGTGTTTAAAAGAACTTATGTACCCTATTTGCATAATGCCTAAAACAGAAGCCACTGGTAAATGTTAAATATGCATGTGTAATATAAACACAGAGAAGTATATATAGTCGTGAGTCTTCCCTGCGGCAGGAAGGGGGATTTCTCCCACGTCATCAGAATCGGTTCCCTCTTGGAGGCACGAGGGAGCGTTGAGCCAGACCAGCAACCCCAGGTGTGACCAGGCCCGCCTGTGCTCTCTGGACACGTCCAGATGCCCCCAGGGGCAGAGTACCAACACTGGCAGTGGCAGAAACTCTGGTCTTTATCACTCCCCAAAAGAAACTCCCCCCATCACTACCTAAAAGAAATAATTCATGGAGAACTGGAGCCAAACATGTTATTTTCAATATGGAAACACATATATGCCCAATGTTTCTCAGTGAGCGTCTCAACAGACATGTCTATTAACACAAAACCTTCCCATATAAATTACGGAAGCGGCACAGCATCCGTCAGGGTGGGGCTTGGGGTGCATTTGCACAGCCAGGCCCTGCTGAGCTCAGGCTGTGAGTCTGCCCTGGTGACTTTGGGGGGAGGAGGAAGAGAGTGGGAAAGCGATTCAAGCCCTCTCCCAGCTTCCTGGGGCCAGTCAGGCCAGGCCCCCGAGACATCACAGCCACCGGAGGAGCTTACACCAGGTCCTTCCCCGTCTTGCTAAGGGCGGCCCTGGGCAAGCGGCAGGCTCCCGGGTCCTGGAAAGGGCTGGAGCAGACCTCTGGGAGAGTCCATCCCCCACAACCCAGGTCCTGGCACAAGGCCCGTCACCAGTGCATTCAACGAGCCGAATCTGTCTCCTTTGGACTCACAAGTGTTGCTGCAGCTCTAACAGCACGGATTTCTCCAGGCTGGTCTCGTTGGAGATAATGAAGTGGGGAAGATCCACATCCGGCAGCGACTCCAGCCCCGCGGCCCTGAGCAGGGCAGAGCCTCGGTCCCAGGGCCCAAGCTCCCCTGCGGAGGCGGGGCTGGAAGGCTCCTCCAGGGGCGAATGCTCCTCGTAGATCAGCAGGTTCCTGGATCTCACTGAGGACAGAGCACAGTTCTAGGTGTCAGAGGGGGGCCCCTGGGGTGCAACACATCCCCTCACTCACTACATGGGGCTGGGGGGTCAAATGACAATTCAGGGCTCTTGTTGCCCAGGATGGAAGGTGCCAACTGTACTAGTTTACTTGAAAGGCTTTTGAGTTTCAGAGTTTTGTGCATGGAAAATTATACCAATTATACTGTGCTGGAAGAACAATCAGCAAGCAAATAAACAGGAAGCAAACTCCCGACCCCACTGCCTTGCAAATAAAACTCCCCTCCTTGCCCACCCATGGCCGTCTGGGAGAAACAATTCATGGAGAGTGAGAGTCCAATGTGCGGAGCGAGTTGGACCAGGCTAAAATAGGAAGCGTGCCCGCTGAGGGAGGTACAGGGCAGAAAACTGCATTTTCATGTAGAAATGAAAGATTCAAAGCCAAAGCCATAAATCAAAGGATGGAGACAGTTTCTTTTGTTTTACAAGAGAACCACAGAGCTGAGTGGCTCTGGAGCGCATTTCCAAGGCACAGACGTTATATTCCCATCAGTTTCCACTTAAATTTAGAGATATATTACCTGAAGGAGAAAAGAATTTCCCAGGAGGCTACTGAAATTATCAGGTTGGAATGCTAACACGCTGTCACCTCCCTGGCAGGGCCACCGTGCAGTAAAGAACACAGGCCTTTCCGACCTGCGAAATCAGGCCAAACCTGAATCTAGTCCCTCCGAACCCCAGCTCTGTTCTTGCTGGTACATATGCACATTAGTGTAATACTGGAAGCCCCCAAACCATCTCGTACTCTCTACATATTTAAAAGGCATCACCGATCTAGGTCAGGAAACCTAAAACCCCAGTGCCCAAATGTTCTAAATCTTGGATATAATGATTTTTAAGACAGACCGATTCTTTTCTTTTATCTGCTACAGTGATAAACAATTCCACTGAGCAGAAGGAAAAGCACAGATGTTCCCTTAAAATGTTACGGGAAATTTAACTTTCCCTACCCACCCCCAAGTCACCTCCACCCCCCTTATCAGAACTCAAAAAGAAGACATCAGAATTTGCCAAGGACGAGTCTAGAACAGAAGTCCCCAAACTGTGCTCTCCTGAGTCCTGGAGAGGTTCAGCGACGCCCCAGCCCAGAGTGAAGGGGGGTGCAGGGGGGCCCCTGTTGCCCTCATTCAATGGAGAAGTACACTTTGGCCCCTTTTTAAACAGAAGTCTCCTTTCAGAGAGTCAAGTTTTTAGGAAGCTCTGAGAAACGCAGTAAGAAACCTGCATGGTGCTGAGGGCCGCTTACCCACAGAGGCTGTGTATGGCTCCTGCAGGGAGGGCTGGCTGGGCAGCGCCATCTTGGTGGCAGAGGGATAGGGCCCGTAGCCCTGCAGGCAGCTGCCGAACGCCACAGCAAAGCATAACACGACCACCTGCAGCGAGGAGAGAACATGAGGAGCTGCAGACTCCAAGGCCCACAGAGCAAGCTGGAGACCCTGAGTGCCGGGAGACAGAGTGCCCCATCAGCCTGCACCACAGCTCAGCCACTGCATCACGGCAGAGGAGCAGCCTTGGAGCAAGCTGCCTGATTTCTCCAAATCTGCGGCACTTGAACTTGGCGAGGGGGGTGGGTGAAGCTGGGCGCTGGACCAGGCCCGCTGAGTGCTGTGTCCTAGGAAACTCACCATGAGGCAGGTGCCCGTCTGTGTGCCGGCCAGCTTGCAGGTGCGAGAAACCTTGCCCATCACCAAAGTCTGCAGCTTCTGCAGCTGTTGCAAGAGAGTTCTGCAAGTGCAATACAATGGAAACCATGAAGGGAGGCTGAGAGGCAAGAGAATGCTAGGGGCGACCTCTGCCCCAGGCCTCGGGAAGTGACTCTGAATGTAGCGCTAAGCAACAGTTTCCTTTGGAGCAAGGTGAATCTGTTTCATAGAATGATGGACTCCTACATCTAGGGTTATAGGATGTTAAGGCTAGCGAGTTCTCACAAATCAACCAGTGTTGACGCCGCATTTTATAGATGACAAAACTGAAGGCTGAAAGTTTGAGACCCTGTGCCCCCCAGCGGTGGGGCCGCAAGGCTCCTGGGCTCAGAACCAGCCAGACCACGCACTGAGCTGAGCTGGTGAACATGCGGATGCCCTAACCGATCCCTGAGGGCCTGGTCTGCCAGCCACTGAGATAGCAAAGAGTGGAGACAATTCCGATAGGCTGGCGGTGGTGATACAGGACACTCCTTTGTTCAAGAGATGAGAAACACGTGAACGGAGAAAAGCAAAGAAGGAAATCCCAGAAGAAAACAAGGATAGAGGTAGCCAGGGGCGGTGGTAGTGATGGGCAATGGCAACAGGATCTGAACAACAGGTGGTCAGGCGGCAGAGCTGGAGAGAGGAGAGAAAATGCAGGATGCCAGGAGGGCAGCCACGAGCATAAGTCTGTGGCCCTCACAGCCTGACAGCACCTCCGCCACCACAGTGAGGGCCAAGCAGGAAAGGCCAATGGTGCTTACTCAGCTGGACACGTGCTCAGAGCCAGGGCCTGGGCAGCCAGCCCTGATACAGCCTGGTCTCGCCCCAGCAAGAGACAGAGAGCAGAACAGTAGAAAGGAGTTGCTCGATCCCTAGTATTAAACAACTGTGCTTCCTCCCCACCCTTTAAAAGGGAAGGCTGGGCCTCCTTGGTGGCCTAGGGGTTAAGTCTCTGCGCTATCACCATTACGGCCTGAGTTTGATACCCGGCCAGGGAGGAGACCCACATGGCGCAGCAGACCGCTCCTGTCCCACCTGCTGCTTTCTTCAGCTGTGTGTTTCAGTAGCCTTGCCTGTTCTGCTCCCCGCTCTGTCTCCAGTGAATCTTCTCCCACCCCGACTTCTGGCCTATACCCTAGTTCCTCTACACAAAAATAAATTAAATCTTTAAATAAATAAATAGAAGTGAAGACTTTGGGGATGAGAAGAGTATATACTATGCTGTCTGTGAGATGTCTGAGCACAGAAAGAGCAGATGAGGAAATTCTTTGGAATTCCTGGACACTGAGAAACGTGGCAAAGTATCTTACAATCCTGAATTAGAACCCCAGGGGTGGGTACAACCACTATGGGAAGCTGTGTGGAGGTTTCTCAAACTGCTAAGAATGGAGCTTTCATATAATCTAGCAATTCTACTCCTAGGTATCTACCCAAAAGACACAAAAACATGAATTCAAAAGGACAACTGCACCCCTATGTTTATTGCTGCTCTATTTACAATAGGGAAGATATGGAGTCTACCCAAATGCCCAGAAATAGATGACTGGATCAAGTAGATGTGATATATATATGTGTGTATATATATATATATATATATATATATATACATACACACACATATACACATACAATGGAATATTACTCAGCAATCAAAAAAGATAAACTCATGCCATTTGTGGCAACATGGATGGAGCTGGAAAAGATCATGCTTAGTGAAATAAGCCAGAAAGAAAAAGAAAAAATACTGGATGGTTTTACTCATAGCAGGAGTGTAAAAGATCAGGAAGGAAAAAACATACACACACATGTGTATATATATATATCACACACATACATACATATGTATGTATGTGTATATGTATATGTACACACATAGTAATTGTAGTAAAGTAAAAATGAACATCAACTAACAACTGTAAACCAGAGACATTCTATGGGGATGGAGAGGAGAACAGTATCAAAACTTGGGCAGGGCCCTCCCTGGTGGCGCAGTGGGTTAAAGCACTGCACTGAGAATCTAAAAGCCGCTTCGCATGAGTTCAATTCCCGCCTGCCCCGGAGGTGACCACATGGTGTGGCAGACCTCTCCTGACCCGCCCGCTGCTCCCCTCAGCAGTGTACTT